ATCGATGAACAATGGGATGATGGTGATACAGTGATTATTATTAATTAAAAACATAATAATTATGATTTGGAGTCAATTAACTCCCAGTTACAAAAGCATAGCATTAACTGCCTTTCTGTGTCCATACAAAAAGGACATTGCTCTGAAATAAACTATGCAAAAGGACATAAGGGAAGGAGAAAAGCAATATTTCATTTACAAATACAAATCCAGAGATTTCTGAGGAATTTGACTCTACAAGTCACAGGTACTGCTTTGGGGATAAAGGTGATTGACCGGTTGGGGAAGCAGAGCACAGAGAAGAGTTAAAGATAAAGACAGGAATGGGAGTGCCTGGGCAGCACTGTGATGGGTGTAATCCAATCAACCCAAGCTCCCTGCGGCCAGGAAGAAAGGACAAACCAATGTTATCTAACACTGGATGTTGTCAAATCAGTTTCCAAGACAGCTGTGGCTAACCCCACTCCACAACACATGAATAACATTCACATGCTTCATACCCTGAAGAGTTGCACCAACGATTGTGTCCATTGCTTAGAATGCCTGCCTTGCAAGTATGTGGTAATGAGTTCAAATTTCCTGTTTCCATGTGCTGAGTGTGACTCTAGCAGCTCTGCTGTCTGATTTCCTGCGGCACAACAGCCAGATGTCTGTGAGTACCACAAAATGGGTGCAGTACCCAACTGAAAATATGCAAGCACCACAGCCAGAAACATCGACCTCTGGTGAGTACATGTGTGATCACTAAAATGACCCCTGCTAAGTGCCACCATTAGGACTTGTACCCCTCAAAGAAAAGTGCTCACAAGGCCGACCTCCACAGACTCAGACAAGCCTCATCCAGGAATGAATCTGCTGAAAAACTCAGTTATGTGGGTTTTGTGACTGAAATCTCCAGGCTCACAGAGTTGGGAATGGACCACCTTCTCCCACCTCCCTGTACTTCCAAACTTACAGGAGTCTGGGAGTCACACCCATGAACTGCCTCTGGCATCATCTAAGCTCATTAAAGGCCACGATCCAGAGATTCACAAATAAATCTTGGAAGAGAGCAACAAGCTGCAGACATGTCTCTGGACCCTAACGTAACCATTCTGTTAAAAACTTAACTCCAGCTATATCAACCTATTTAAAATTTTAGAATCTCTGGAGCACATGGCTGTGAATGACACCCCATACTCTACACCACTGATGTACCAGTAGTAGCACACCACATTGGATGAGGTGTAAAGTAGAAGGCAATTGATCTCAATTAAAAAAAAAACATATATATAGTGGGGCCGGAGCAATAGCACAGAGGTAGGGCGTTTGCCTTGCACGCGGCCGACCTGGGTTTGATCCCTGGCATCCCATATGGTCCCCCAAGCACCGCCAGGAGTAATTCCTGAGTGCAGAACCAGGAATAACCCCTGAGTATCGCTGGGTGTGACCCAAAAAGCAAAAAATATATATATTATATTACATATATATTTATATATAAAATATATATTATATATGTTAGTATACAAGATTAAGAGCATGCTAGTAAATCTCTTATACATGGCTCCAGGCTTAAATACAACAATCTTCACACACTTTTTCCTAAGGAAACTTTGATCATTTTTAGTGGATTATTCATAACAAGCAATACAAAATAAATTATTTATTGGGGTAGGTTTGGATGGTGGTGGGAGAAACTGGAAATATTGGTGGTGTGGAGGCATAATGGTGGTGGGATTGATGTTGAAATACTGAATGTAATTAATCATTGTGAACAACTTTATAAAAATAAAATTTAAAATAAATAAATAAATGAAAATGCTCAGCGCTCAGCCCAGCAAGCTTATGTGCAAGTCGGTGACTGAAGGAGTTTGAACTAAGGCTAGCACGTGAGTCTTAAAGCACCACTACCTGATACTTTGCACGTTTTTTCATCTATTAGTTCAAACCACAAATTTCTTCTCTTTACTTTTTCTATATATATATATATATATATATATTTTACATTTTTATTTGGGAGGGGACCATACCCAGCAATGCTCAGGGGTTACTCCTGGCTTTATACTCAGGAATTACTCCTGGCAGTGTGACCATATGGGATACTGAAGGGGAGTGTGGGGTGAGTGAAGGTATGCCCGAAAGGGATGAATAAGGAACAGGACTTTGTTCTCTTGTTTTTGTTTTGGAGCTATACCTGGCAATGCTTAGGGGTTACTCCTGGCTGTACATTCAAGAATCATTCCTACAGTGCTCAGGAAAACATATGAGGTTACCAGGAACTGAACCTGGTTCAGCCACATGCAAAGCAAACACCTTACCAGCTGCTATTTCTCCAGCCCCCTTACTAGGTATTTTTGTATAAATGTACATATGTTTTATAAATGAGTAAGACTAAAGTTTTCCTTTTTTAATTTTTGGGCCACACCCAGCAGTGCTCAGACTACTCCTGGCTTAGTGTGGGGGATGGAGGGTAGGGGTGGGGTGTGCAGCCAGCAATTCCAAGAACCCCCCCCCACCAAGACAATAAAGTATCTTAAACATAGATTGAGGAGTGAAACCAATCAGGGCGGAATTTTAGCAATGCTAATTACAAACTATGGCTTGAACAGAATACTTCATTTAAAATTGGTTTCCTTCTCTTTAGAGATACTATTATTACCTACATTCCTTAGAGTTGTTCAAGGATTAATATAATTCACATTTTGCATTTAGATAGTACCGTTAGATAGTAACGGATAAATTTCAGATATTACTAATTAAACCCAGGAGTTTGGTTTACTGGTAAGATTGCGTTTAGGCTGCATTAGCCCACTTACTCTTGACCACTAGAGGGCACCATTGCCTTTGTCCATTTTAAAGGGATCCTACCAAGGTCAAAATGACCTCAATTTTCCGCCTTCTCTCCCTAGGCCTATCCTACACACACTCCAGTTCCTAGACTTTTACATATATTTAGCCTAAGAGCTTACTCAAGTGCTTTCTTCATCCCAATCCTTCTTCCTCAACTTTCTTTCCATCTGCCAGAGCCTCCCATCCGGGTTCAGAAAGAGACTCTTGAGTCAGTTCTTGGGAGAGACCATTTAATCCCTTTGATCCCTGGGCTTTCCCATTGGCCTTACAGCCTTGGATGTCAGAAGAAACAACTTCAAAACAAGTCTCTAAAGTCCTTGTGACACAAAGCTCCAGGACCCCGAGTTCAGGGACTCAGCATTACTGTTCCCCTCCCTCCCTTATGACCAGTCAATAATGATACCTTTGATTGCTGCACCCCAACACTGTCTCGTCTCTTGGGGCACGGGAGTTCAATCCTCTGAACTGGTGGCTAGACTCTGTGGATAATTAACCAGAGAGAAAAAATCAGGCCAGACTATTCTAAGGTTATGAGGAAATCCTCTGTGAGATGCTAAATTGGGAGCATATATTGATCAGTGGAGCTTTGAAGTCACCGAGAAGGTAGCTGAGGTCAGGGCTCTTCTGATGCTTTGGCTTCTCTTGATGAAGTTCTTTCTTAAGACCTACCTAGGTTCCCCCAAACCAGAGAAGCATGCCCAGAGGTGTGAAACTGGACCAAAGGAAATTTGGGGTGTGAAGGCATCAGTTTTCTTTTTCTCTACATACCAGGTTTAACCTAAACTTGGCTTAGGCTGGTACCGAGACTTCTAACCTTGTTGTTCCTGCTAGGTGAGGAGATAAAAGGACTGACTTAGGTGTAGGGTTTGTCAGGAAGGTGCTCTGGTCATTGGCTCAGTTCTCTGCCCTTGAGTCAATGACGTTCATAGGGGAAGGAGGTAGAAAGGTTCCAGAGATCTTGTCTACCAGGGGGATTAGTCAAGAGCGGTGTGCAAAATCACTCTAGTGCCATAGTTCATTTCATGTTCTCTGGGGAGCAACGGTTGAAAGTACATAGACACATAGAGATAGCCAAGGAGGAGAAAGGACCCAGAGGCCCTATGGGAGTGATGTGACAAAGAGGACAATGTCTAATGCCTGGCTATGGACCATGATTGGTCAGCCACTCAGGACTTTGTTTGTGGCCCACATTTTGCAGTGCTACTCCTGCTTTGGTGCTCAGGAACTGCTGGGGTGGGGGCGATCAGGGCTGGGGGAGTGGGGGACACAAACCAGGCCTCGCCCATGCAGAGCAAGGGCTCCCTTGCATTAAGCTCTTTCTGCCCGGCTCCCCGTTCTAAGGACAGATGTGGGATGGGTTGGCCGTGGGGGATTATGTGACTGAAACGGCGGTGAGAGGAGATTAGTGCTCAGGAGCCCGGGTCCACACAGGAACCTTGATATTAAGGGCCATGCAGGAGATGTGGATTTCCTGGCCCGAGCTGCAGAACTGACAGCACACAGAAAAGCCGTGACATTGAGGCCTCTGCTCTGGGCTCTCCTTCTCCGCAGATTCGGGTCTCTCAGTGTCTGTAACGCCAGGACTCCCCGAATACCCCCACCGAGCGGCTCTCTCCCGGCATCCTAGCCTGCTGGCCACATGATTTCACCTCTATGGTCGTTAAGTCATTGACCAAAGACGTAGGAAAGCACGCCAAGGGGATGGGGAGGAGCGGACAGTCATCCCTCGCCCAGGGAGTATGTTAACGGGCTCGGCTTCCGAAGGTCTTCCAAGGTCGCGGTCCTGGGCTTATCCCGCAGAACCAACAACCAACACCGATGTGTTCAGGGCAAGGGGAAAAGCCTGCAGGAGGAAGTTAACTGAGTTCTCAGGCACATACCTAGACACCTACCCTCCGGCGGCCCCCGCGCCCCCGCGCCTCCACCCGATTAGCCTAGCCCGGGCGGCCCAATCCTGCCCGCCGCAAGCGCCGTCCTAGGCTCAGGTCCCGCCCTCCGCCACGCGCTGGACCAATCACCGCGCCCAGGGCGAGTCCTCGGCGAGGGGCGGGAGCGGGTTCCGGGTGGTGGGCGGGGCCTCGGCGAGGACCCCGGGCTGGGCGCCGCCGCCGGTTCGTCTACCCTTTCCCTCAGCCGCCTCCTTTCAACCTTGTCCCCGCGTCGCGGCGGCCTCTCGAGCGGCTGCAGCGGCTCCGGTTCCTGCCGCAGCTCTCTCGCTCCCCTTCTTCCCGGCCCAGCACACCCCCGAGCGCGCCCGCCATGGCTTTGCTCACCGCGGCCGCCCGGCTCTTCGGAACCAAGGTGAGCAGCGCAGCGAAGGAGCGCGAGCCCGCAGGGTGGGGCTCCGTCGGGAGCGCCGCGGGGGTCACCCTCGCGGCTCTCGGGGCGCCGCTGCCGCCTTAAAGGGGCCCCGCGCCCGGCCGGCCGCCAGCCCGGCGCGCCGCTCCCGGGCCATGTGCCGCGCCGGCCTTCCGGCGCCGGGGGGAAGCGCGCGCCGGCCGCCCCCCAGAAGCCGCCCCCGCGGCGGCGCGGGCGGGGCGGCCGGCCTGCGCCCCGGCCCCCCCGAGGCCCGGTGGGAGCGGGGGGGCCCGGGCCGGCGTCCAGCGGAGTTGGGGAAGGAGCCGAGTTTGGAAACGGGGGCGGGGGCGGGAGGAGTGGCCGGGGCGAGCAGATGTGCACACGCCGTCCCCGGGCCGAGGCTGGGCCGCCGCTCCTCCCGGCGGCCGTTGGCGAACTGCCCGCTGCTTTGCTCGGGGCCCGTTATTCAGCCCGTGCGGGATGGGGTCGAGCCGTCGCCGTGGCCGTGCGCGTCGGGCAGTCGTCCTCGGGAGGCTCGCACCTTTTTTACCTAGGGGGAGCTAGGGTGGGGGTGGAGCCCTGCCCTGAAACCTCCTGCGGGATTAGGACACCTTGTCGGGGAGGGAGCCGGAAAGATGGTCCCCCAGTCCTGCGGGCCCTCCGTGACCGAGCTGGGCAGGAGATAGCCGTGCCAAGGCAACGTGACCGATGCCACTACCTGCTGGCTTAAGTTCAGCCTGTTCTGCTCAGAAAATCTTGATCTTGTTCTTCGGAGCCCTTTACTTGACTTTCGTTGCCTTTTGGATCATAGAATATTTCTCGGAATAACTTGTTCCTTCGTAAAAAAAAAATTTTTTTTTGGCGGGGGCTTTACTCTCTAGGCTGCTCGGGGCACCGTGCCACTTAGGACCCTGGGCTACTAAATGCCAAGCATGCACCCCACTTCTTGGAGCTAGCTGCCCAGAGCCGCGACTTGGCCCTTTAAACAGAAGCTGCCGTGCTGAGGGAGTCCTGGCCCTCTAATCCAAGCAGGGACAGTCCCACAAGTGACCTTGACTCTTGAAAAGAAGTTATGCTTTCTCTTAATAAAGGAAAACCAAACAGTTCAGAGCTGTTAGCACCCGAGGAAAACTCTTAGAATGCTCTTTCCCCCCTTTCCTCCTAACTATTTTTTTCCGTGCAGGGAATGGAACCCAGTGCCTCATGCGTGCAAGACACGCGTTCTGTCACTGTGCCGCATTCCTGATCACTTAGAGTGGTTTTGACTTGACTGTAGTATCTGGCCTGGCAGGACAGGGTGCATCTGTAGGGTTTACATTGGGTTTCTTCTTGGCACCCAGCAGCAAGGTGTAGGCTGATCATCTGGGAGATCCTTGTCTGTCTTTACTGTTGCTTCTGCTGCCAGGGAACAGGGTAAGGAAACCTCTTGGGACACGCAGCAAGTTCTAGATAGTGTTTTTGGCAGAATAGGGGACACTATAATTAGTTCATTCCAGAGCTCTTGCCTCTGACCAGATAGTCTAACCCTACTGCGAATTTGAAAAAGACTTTCGAATTTACCTTTTGAATTTATTTTGTCTCTTTTGCCTCTGGGAGAAGCTTAGAAAGCTTCTAGGTATTTGGTATGACAGGGCCATATAATTGAAGTATTCTTATCGTTCCCGTTGCTTGTCTGTTAGAAATGCACCTGAGGATTTCAGAAGCCTATAAATTGGTGACCATTAGAGACCCTTGGCCCTTCAAACTAATAAAGCCAGTAGGTTCAGGAATGGCAGTGTCCTGAGATATTAGCCAGAGCTTCGCAAACTTGCCTTCTGATTTGAATAGCCCAGAGAACTTGTTGAATTCCTGATCACATGGTTGAGAACCAGACCATAACCACAACATTTATGTCAGGCCAGTTTCTGAGAGGGGCTTCAGTTTGTGTTTGTTGGTTACTGTTGAAAATAGAAGGGTTCATCGGAAAGTGGAAGGGAAAGAAAAAAAAACTCCCCAGCCAGGAAAGAACTTAGACTAGGAAGGACTAAGTTGACGGCTTCAGTATTTTTAAGTCCGTTCAGGTGATTCCAGTTTCCAGTCAACTTGAGAACCATATCTACACAATATGATCGGGATACCAAGAAGCCCTACAGGTTTTTTTGTCTTGTTTTGTTTTTTTGTCTTTTGTTGTTCTGTTAAGCCTTTCCGTTAATTACCATTGCAAGCACCTGCCTGAGCTTTCTGGATTAGCTTTTGTTAATTATATTTCATCTTTTGGGTCATACCCAGCGATGCTCAAGGGTTATTCCTGGCTCTGCACTCAGGAATTACTACTGGTGGTGCTCAGCAGACCATATGGGATGCTAGAGATCGAACCCGGGTCGGCCTCGTGCAAAGTAAATGCCCTACCCGCTCTACTATTGTTCTGGCCCCCTCTCCTTCGAAATTAGCTTTTAACTTAAACTTTATTTTTGCTATTGAGGTAGATTTTAGAAAGCAAATATAGTCACCTTACCTTAGAACTTGACCACTACTGTTTGTGATCCTCAAGGTCAAAGTAGTTTCACTTTTCTAGGAAGAGATTTTTTTCACCCTACTAGGAAACATACAAACGCTAGTTTTTTTTGTTTTGGGGGGTTTTTATTTTATTTTTTTAATTGAATCATAGTGGTATACACAGTTACAAAGTTGTTCATGATTGGATTTAAGTCATATAATGTTCTAACACCTGTTCCTTCACCACCAATAGTCTCATCCCCTCACCCCCCATAGCAGGCACTTATCTCTTTCTTTTCTCTCTCTCTCTCCCCCTTCCCTCCTCCCTCCTTTCACACACACACACAAAAGTGTTTGTTCTATTGTGCTATCTTACTTTGTCAGGTAATTTAAATGGATGCCTTAGTTCAGGGAGAGATTATTTGACCTCTTGTTTATTTCAGTAAATTCATACTAAGAACCACTTTACTATTTTGCCTTGCTTTGTGATTTTGTGATGTAAATACTCTTTTCACAGGTGTTATGGGTTTGGATTTGGGCTGGGAATTGAGGTAGTGCCTATGGGTCTCTTCTGTTGGGCTTTTTTTGAGTCACACCTGACAATGCTCAGGGGTTACTCCTAGCTCTGCATTCAGAAATTACTCCTGGCATTGCTCGGGGAATCTTGTGGGACATAGGGGATCGAATCTGAGTCGGCCGAATTCAAGGCCAATGCCCTCTCCGCTGTACTGTTGCTCAGGTCCTATGGGTCTCTTTTGAACTCAAATGCTAACTCGCCTTCACCAACCCTCCCTAATTCTTGCTTCACTGAGAATTATTCCTTCATGTTAGGATTTTTAACTTTGAGTAAATTGATTAAAAATTATTCAAGTTTTTTTTTCTTTTTGGGTCATACCCAGCAATACTCAGGGGTTACTCCTGGCTCTGTACTCAGGAATTACTCCTGGCAGTGCTTGGGGGACCACATGGAATGCTGGGGACTGAACCCTGGTCAGCTGCTGGTCGGCCGCATGCAAAGCAAGCACCCTACCCACTGTACTATCCAGCTTTATATTAAAGATTATTCTAGATTATTATTCTAGAATTTGTTTTCATTTTCATTTTGTGGGGGGATACCACACCCGGTGGTGCTCAGGGCTTGCTCCTGGTTCTGTGATCAGGAATCCTTCCTGGCAACCTTGGGAGGGAACTAAATGGAATTTCAGGAATCGAACCCAGGTGGGCCGACATGCAAAGCAAGTGCCTTATTTGCTGTACTGTTTCTCTGGCACTTCTTATTTGGGGGGGCCACATCGGCCGTGCTCAGGGTTTGCTCCTGCCTCTGAACCTCAGGGATCACTCCTGACAGGCTCAGGAGATCCTATGTCGTGGCGGGAATTGATCCTGGGCCTGCTGTCTGCCACATGCTAGGCAGGCACCCTCCCTGCTGTACTATCACTGCTGCCCTGCGTTTCTGGAATTTTTAAGAGACACCTATTAATGTACTTGGTTGCTTTATAAGAGATTCCATCAGTTAGATTGGGTTCGACAAAACAGTTTTGTCTTGTGAAATGTTAGGTTTAAAGCTCTGAATATTTAAAGCTGGCGCCCAAATCTCGGAGCCTTAAAGTAAAGTAATAGCAACATTTTTGACTCTGGGAAGATGAAGAGTAAAGACATGGGCTGGGAAGAATCAAGCACTGTATGGCAGAGAAGCAGATCAGAGAAGTGGGAAAGCTGCCACTTCTGTTTCTTAGAACCAAGTGGACTGTACGCAAGAAACCAGACTTTCCTGCTTACAGTCCACTGTGTAAGTAAATCTCTATAATATCGCGCAAATTTTTCTGCCCTGATTCAGTGCTTTATGTGATCAAGAATTGAGTAGGATGTGAAGTTTAAATAGAAGTGAGGCAACTTTAGTTCATAGTTCTTCAGATCTTTCATTCCGGGGCTAGAACCACATAACAGCAAGGTATGGCACTTACCTTGTATGTGGCAGACCCAGGTTCCATCCTCGGTACCCCAAGTGGTCCCCCAGCCTGCCAGGGATGATCCCTGAGCACAGAGCCAGGAATAAGCCCCGCGCAATGCCCAGTGTGCCCCCCCCACACACACATACACACAAAAACCCACAAACTTCTTCCTTTCTTCCTTCAAATTCCTTAGATTTTGAATTCCTTTGGTTTTCTCTGGAGGAGAGAGGGAGGTTGGGCCAGGCCTGCAGGTGCTCAGGAAACAATAAGCAGTGCCTGGGATTATACTGGGGTCAGCCACATGCAAGACAGACATCTTAGCGTTGGACTGTCTCCAGCTTCCCCAGTTGATGTTTTTGTTTGTTTGCTTGCTTGCTTTTGGGGCCACACCCGTCAATGCAAGGGGTTCCTCCTGGCTCATGCACTCAGGAATTACTCCTGGCAGTGCTCAGGGGACCATATGGGATGCTGGGAATGGTTGAATGCGGATTGGCCAAGTGCAAGGCAAACGCCCTACCCGCTGTGCTATTGTTCCAGCCCAGTATTTTCTTTGAACATGCTATCATTTAAACTTTT